GGGGTAGAGGAGGGTGGGGAATGGGGAATTGAGAAATACAGGGTTCTTTTGAGGGAGATGGAAGTGTTCCAGAATTAGATAGTGGTGATGTATGCACAACATTGCTAAAAACCACAGAGTTATGCACTTTAAAATGGTTACAATGATGAATTTTATCTCAATTGAAAAAAAAAAAGTACTGATGTCTGCGGCCCACCCCTAGAGATTCTGGTTGGGGCTCAACATTGGTATTTAAAAAAATCTCTGGGGGCTGGCCCGGTGGCCGGGTGGTTAAGTTCTCGCGCTCCGCTGTAGGCGGCCCAGTGTTTCGTTGGTTCGGATCCTGGGCGCGGACATGGCACTGCTCATCAAACCACGCTGAGGCAGCGTCCCACATGCCACAACTAGAAGGACCCACAACGAAGAATACACAACTACGTACCGGGGGGCTTTGGGGAAAAAAGGAAAAAAAATAAAATCTTTAAAAAAATCTCTCCTGTTTGTCTAATCTGCAGCCAGGGTTGAGAATCCGAATTAAGCAAATGAGGCCACACATGGGTCACACTCGCGGTCTGGGGGGCCCTGGGTGAGTGTCTGCAGTCAGTGGGGTGGGGAGCGCAGGGGAGGAAAAGCTCGGGTGGATGCTGCCCCTGGCTTCCTTGTAGCCAGGCGATGAGGCAGAAGGGTCTTGCGCTCTAGTTTCAGGTTGCCGTTTTGGCCTCCGCTGTGCAATCTTGTTTGCATTGCTTCATCTGTCTAAGCTGTAGTTATTCTAAAGGTGTCTGAGAAGATAGGTTGTGATAATGTTCCCAAGTGTCGAGACTGGGATACAGTAGGCGCTCAACAAATGTTCGCTTTCCTTGCTTTCCCATTTCCCTGCCGCTTTAATTCTTGTTGATCGACTCTTTGGGAATGCGTGCATTGGCCGCTTCTCCCTCCTACTCCCCAGACTGCTGGAGGTTAGTAGGAGAATGGGGCGGGCTGGGGCGAAGGGGTCTCCGCCCAGGGGCTTTTCCTACCCCGGGCTTCCTCCGCTAGCTTGGGCAGGGGCTTCTTTGCTAATATGGGACTCACCATCTGCGCTGCCAGGTGAGCCCGCTCAGGAGGAGGATGCTGATCAGCAGGAGAATGCAGCCGGCCACTGTCAACAGAGAAGCAGTTCAGCAGAGGTGCGCCTGGGCTGGGTCGCAGAGCAGGCTGAAGAAGTCCCGGCCGGTTGTAGTCCTTGTCGTCCCCCCCACCCCGCCCACCCCCCCCCCCACCCCCCGCCCCCCAGCAGGAGTTTCCTGCAGAGGTGGGTGCTCCACTTTCTGCTTTCCCTTCTCAGAACACAGGATGCAGCGCCCTTCCCGGACAGGACCAAGGACGAGGGCTAGGGCTGGGGAGGTGTGGACGGAAAAGGGCAGGCGCCTGTCCTCAGTGGCTCTGCCTCTTTCTGGGGGCAGGGAACTGACAGGCACTCTCTTGAGAATGATTCAGAGGCCAGGCCTCTGTTAAGGAGGCTGTGAGTGAGGCTCAGGACAGTAAAAGAAACGTCGAAATATAAAGATAAATGATAAACACATTAGCATCTCTTGAAAGTGTTCAAATGATGCTTTCCTGTGGCACTCGAGTGAGCTACCTATCTACCTTAGATGTACCTCCAAGCCTGTTTTTCTTTTTTTTTCCAGCTTAATTGAGATATAATTAACATACACATTGTGTAAGTTTAAGGTGTGATGATTTGATACACTTATATCTTGCGATATGATCACCAAAATCCTGTTAGCTAACACCTCCGTCACATCACATAATTACCACTTTTTTTGTGTGTGGTGAGAACATTTAAGATCTACTGCCTTAGCCACTTTCAAGTAGACAATACGCTGTTGTTAACCATGCTGTACATTCGATCCTCGGAACTTATTCATCTTCTTGCTGGAAGTTTGTACCTCTCACCAACATCTCCCCATTTGCCCCACCCCCAGTGTGGTGACCACCATTCTACTCTCTGTTTCTATGAGCTCCTCCCATCCCCACTCACCCCAAAGCCTGTTGTCCCCTCTCCAAGGAACAACTGTAATGTTTCTGGAATGTTTTTTCTCTCTGCCCCTGGTTATATGGCATCCGTTCTCTCTCACCTCACCTCACCCCTCACACATGGCCATGGGGTATTTTTATCCTTTAAGGTACAGTTAGAGGGAACTAGTTGGGCTGGTTTGAGACTTCACTCACAACTTACTATAACTGATTACTGCGATTTTGAGTTAGGTTAATATCTAGATTAGTCTTTTACTCTTATAAACATTATATAAGGAGGGGGTCATTTTAAACTAACTAACCCAGCAACCCACCAAGCAATATGTCCCACAGTCCATCTGGGGCACATTTTGTCAACAAAAGGAGTGACCGCTACCCACCTGCCATCTGATACTCGGCTGTAAATATGAACGTCTCTGTGGTTGCAGCCACTTCTGTACGTGTTTGAAAATCTGTGCAGGAGAGAGAGAGGAAGAGGCTGAGTTTATGCTAATTATCGGACTGCGCAGGCTGCAGAGAGTCAGGGCTTCCCAGCGAGCTAGACCCTCGGAGATTGATGGAAGGGATGTGAGAGACAAGAGGAGGCTGTGGGCAAGCGTTTCATCCTTCTGCCTCGACATGCTGCCCTCAGTCTCGTTTCTCCTCTTTCTGACGCTTACTGTAAATGTGTTTGAGCACTGGGGGTCACGTGCAGATGCGTGATCATCTTTCACACCCGCGGGGCCGCTCTGGCCCATCTCCTGGAGGGGCTGCTCCAGGCGAACTGTCTTCCCTTTCTTGCATTATGATTTAATGGCCAAGCTTTTATCTTCATGGAAACTGGCCGTACCTGTGGTACCTGTCATTATTAGGGGACAGGACGTTTCACTCCCAGGAGAAGCATCAGTGCTTGCTTGAAGCTCTTTGTCACCTGGAGGAAAGAGTAAGTGATGCTTGTGGAACCGAAGGTGGATTGTGAGGGTCGCACATCCACCCCGAACCGTCTCCTTAGCCGACCCTGGACACACTAGCTGAGGCGTGAATCTCAGTTATGGGCACATTATCTGGGGATGCTACGTGACGGGGCTCTGCATCAGGGTCACAGGGAAGTGGGTAAGTGGCCCCAGCAGAGCTGAGAGGGAATTCTAACCGTGGTCCTGGCTTTCCATGGAACTCCAAGCAACCCCTCTCCCCAGGCTTCCTACTCAGCCCTGATTTCCATCTGTGGCTTGGAAACAGGTCATAATAATACAAATACCAGTGAACCATCAGATGAAGTAGAAATGCAGAGAAGGGTTGCTTTTCTCTGTGACAGGGTCCCCATTCCTCCTGAGTGTTGTCAGTTCCCCAGGACACTTCCCCGCCTCCCCATCCTTTTATAAAGGAAGCCATGGACATGCTCTGAGCTGTAGTGTGGCTCATTGGAGGCAGGCTATGGGAAACAAACAGCATCCTCAAAGAACCCAAGAGGAAGATATGGCATATGAGAAATGGTGGTGAGCAAAGAAACCAGTAATACTTATGGTTAAATGTAAGTGACTTTGATTGTAGAAATAATATGATTGACAGTAATGGCAGAAGAAGACCTCAATAGAGGTGTGTTGTATGTAAGCACGAATGAGTGTATGTTTGTGTTTGTGCTTGAGTAAGACTGTTTCCTACACATCTCCACTCTTAGCAAAGCTCAGGTGGGAATTACACAAAGGGAAGGAACATGCCAACAGTGCAGCACTGTGCAAATAATGGATTCACACTCTGTGTCAGTAAACTAGAAAGGCGTGGGTAGCAGGCTGGACTTTCCCTTTTGAACGAGAGGACATCTTGGCAGCTTTGAGGAAGAAGCGGAATTTCAGGATCAGCTAGGAAAGGGAAAGCATTATCACCAGTGAGGAGGCATCTGAAGATCTTTCCTCCTCTTCTGTCTCCTGCTTTTATCCCCACTCAGGGTAGAGGGGACCTTAGGTGATGGAGACCTTAGAATTTATCTAGTCTATTATCTAGAATGAGACAAAACAGAAGCCCAAGGACATTAAGCGGCTTGCCCCAGGTCACATAGCTGTTGGGTAAAGCTGTTGGGTCAAGAATTGCATCCTGGTCAGCCTGATGGAAAAGGCAAGGTGGTGGACCCCAGAAGCCGCCACCATACCTGCAAACTCACTGTTCTTGCTTTCACTTGTGCACCTGAGCTGGGGCTGTGTCCACCTTGTCCTCCCACACATCATTTTGCAGACGCTCTTGGCAGGACCACTCTGTAGGGCCCTGAATCCCTGGGCGCACTGGTAGTGAACTGTCTGCCCCACCACAAAATGGTAAATTCTCTCCGAAGCTTCGTGTTCCCAGGGCGGAGGCTCCCTGCAGTGACCTGGAGGAGGGAAAGGAAATTCTGAAGGCAAATTGGGGAAAGCACTGTGAGTGAATCCAAGTTGCCTCTTCCTGGAGACTGGACCTTGGTTCTTATTTTTTCGTTCATTCATTCATTCATTCATTCCTTCTTTCATGCAAGCAATATGTATTGAGAATACCTATGTGTCAGGGAACTTTGCTGGGCACTTTGTGAGAAGGCACAAAGACTCAGTTACTCCTGCAAGGAGTAGACAGTGGACTGGGTAAGAAAGACATAGGAAGGCAGAATGTGCTGAGTATTATAGCTGAGGAGCAGGCGCTTGCTGTGGGAACACAGAGGAATGAGTAAGTACTTCTGATGATGGTGAGGGTTTTGATAAGTGGACAGGAGTGAGAAAGGTGGGCTCAGCTGAGGGATAAGGGCAGGCTCAAGCCAATCTGGGCTCATGAAGTGTGAAGACCACCTTGGATCTCCACTGCTAAGTGAGGAAGCACATCCTCGGGTTGCGGCTGGTGGTCATCTTGGGACCATGGCAGAAAGACTGGGGACAAAGCCAAAGCCAAGAGGAGGGAAGGGCTGAGAGAACCTTGGGGAAATGAAATCTCACCTCTGATCAAGCCATGCCTGAAGTTCACCCTACATGAGCCCTGTCAAGGTCTCTGAAAATTCCCCATGCCCAGTAACTTTCCACTCACCCAACTGCAACCCAAGCCTGACTGACCTTTAACCCCAGAGATCCTGTCCCGCCCCAATTTAATCTCAGGATTCCACACTCTACCCGCAGTCTGGACATATGGAACCACATGTACCCTCAATCCCCAGACACATGAAGCTACACATATGTTCTGACCTTCCAGACCTTCCACAACCTGATTTCTCAACATAACGTTCACAAGTACCTCATATAACCCCTCTACCTCAGCAGGAAGCTGAGTGGTCCTGTCCCAGGCGGTCTTCTCTAGAGTAGCACCTTGCAAATCATACTGAACTTGTGATTGAGTCTCACAATAAAATTTCTGTTACAGCTGGTAAAAGTCCATAACTGTGTGAACTTGTTTGAATTGGGTTTGCTTCTTTCAAAAGAAAACATCCAAATTCAGACAGTTTGTGAAATTTGCCTTAGCTGGAGCCGGCTGATCATCTCTTGAGTAAAGTCAACAAACAGTGACCTCTTGAGAAACCTTTCAATAACCATGGAGGGTAATGTGGGAGGAGCAGAGAAAAACAAACAACTACATGTGTTTTGAAACCCCACTCCAGTACAAAGTTGGAGGGCTAAATGGATAAAAACATGTTGCCACAATACCCCTGGATTCATCTTTTTTTTTTTTGCAAAAGTAATGGAAACGGCCAATAAATTCAAACTGATTTGAAATCAGTAATCAGTAGAAAGATCCTTAGTCTAATTCAGGAGACCTGAGGTCTTATTCCTACATTAGGTGAGTTTAGCCGAGTCTCTTAACCTCTCCATGTCTCAATTTCTTGAGTAAATTGAAGTAAGACTCCTGTTCCCTGACTCACTGGCTTGTGAAGCTCAAGTGAGTATCTATAAGGCGCTCAAGTTCTTTGTAAGGTTATAAAATTAGCATAGGACTGTAGGGTCTTGTAAGGTCAGCTGGTGCCCTAAAAGCTCAGGTGTTCCTAACAAGCTCTATTTCTTCCTGACGTGGTGACTTGACTTCAACATGATTCATTCTGGAAAGTTGTGGCAGCTATGGGGTGGTCATGGTTCTCAGTCATCCATGGCCCATCAGCTAGGAGGTCTTTATCTGCAGCTTCCAGACTCCCCAGCATGGCCCAGCACATTTTACAACTCTGTTCGCAAGACACATCTTGCTTTACTGGCAGTTCATTATCTTATACTTAAGGGGAAAACACAGAGTGTTTCCTTGAGGACGCAGACTGTCGTCTACTCATGTTTGCACCTTCTGTCAGCAGTGCCTGGCACAGTTAGTCCCAACACATGCCCTTTGAATTGAGATGAATTGAACTGAAATGAATTGAGCTGAGCTGAATTTTATTTGGCCAGCTCCCAAACCAGGAAGAAGCCCAGAGCCCAGGTTCGCGGCTGTAAGGGTAGCTTGAAATGCTGAGCAAACAGTCTGCAAATGCTATGCAATAGCTCTTGTCCACATGGTACCCCTAGAGGAGAGGACAGTGGACAGACTTTCCTCTTTTGGAGAACACATCATATACCTGCAAGAGAAGGATTGGTTCCCAGGAGTCAGTCAGACAACAGTTGTTGAGATTCACCTCTTACCTGGAAGGTTAACTGGGTCCATGGGCTGTGTTTGGCTTTGCATTTCTGTGGTTTTCCCTTCCATCTGTTCTTCAGGTTTAGGAGTAACTTGTTTTTCTGTCTTCCTAGAAGCTAGAGAGTATTGATGGAATAAACAAATAACTTCACAAATGCTTAAAATAGAAAACACTCTTCACGTATTCATTTACTTAAATAGAGTGTCCTTCTAGTGCCTGTGAGATGTGAAGCAATGTTGGGGTGCTGGGGTTACAAAGACGAGCCACACACACAAACCCTGCCCTTGGGGCAGTCTCAGTGGGGCCTGCTCACGCCCAGCCCATTACATGGCCTGTTGGTAAGCATGTGTGTAATGACAGTGGCCTACAACATGTTTTGGAAAGAACTGAAAGATTTTCAGGTGGAATTTTTTGTGTATGTGTGTCTCCCCACAAGGGGCTCCATTCTGGCCATCAACTGTGTCAACATGGAGCACGGGTGTGTGTGATGGCCATGAGGGGTGATCTGACTCAACAATCTACCGACCCCTTTGTTTCCCCAAAGGAGTTCATTTAAAAGTCAGAAAGATGTAATCTTAAAACAATGACAAGAAAACCTCTCCTACAACACTCCTCTCTATCGTGAAGAGTTTGGCAAAGGAGTTGAGTGTGGGCTCGTAATGAGGGCGGGATCAAGATTCTAGCTTAGGGCCAGGGAGGGGATCTGCTGGGGAAAAAAGGGGGGGTGGGGGGGCTTCAGCAGAGCAGCGATCTCAAAACTCTGCAGTCCATCCATAGTTTGGGTGGGTCGAAGTCACTGCAGCTCACCAGCACGTCTCCAGGGTTAAGAAATAACAAAACAGATGAAACCACATCTATTCACCACATTCTGATATCACAGAGTGGGCAGAAGTTCAACGGCACAATCGTAGTATCAGATCAACTTAGGTTTAGAAACCCATTTAGAAATGATCTTGGGGGTCTTTCCCTCCAAATTCCACTCTGGGGAGCAACCCGCCTACAATATCCGAGCTAGCAGCTCTGCCATCTCTGCTTGCCCTCACCAGCAAAGATGAAGTTTGGGACCCTTGGTTTACTGGTGTTTCCAAGCACTTCCGGCATCGAGGGACCTGAGACCCTCAAGCCATGTTTTGAAGCCCAGAAATAAAGAAACTTGAAGTGAACAACTTCCTCTGCCTCTCTCCTTCCCTTGTGCTAACGTCGAGCCTCGCCCACGCACCAGTCCATCCTGTCTGTGGGTGGTTATTCTCCTCCCTCCCCCAGCCCAGCGAGGGCTTTGCAGGACTAGGACAAGAGACAGCAACCTTCTGGGGGTGTGGGGTCTTGAGGGCATATTCCTCATACTCTGGAATGCCAGTTCCAGCCACTGGGCTGGGGAAGGCCCTGGACTGACAATGCTTTCTCTTTGACAATATATTTCCCCCTCAAGAAATCCCCCAAAGGCCCCTGGGCACCCAGAGAGAAAAATGTTGGCAACAGATGAGACTCTCGAATTCAGTAGCCTGAGCTTCTATTCCCTTTTTACCCTCATCAGGGAGGGAACACCTCTCCTGTTGCCTCTGTTTTTCTACTCAGAACTCCTTCCTTAGGATTGCAGAGATGGTCACTGAAAGGAGATGGGAGAGGGGCCACGCAACTTGTCAGGCTTTCACGCTGTGTGTTACTGGACGGGGAGCTAGGATAAGTACATTTCGTCACTCAGGAGAAGGGTGATATGAGGTGTGAGCTTTGTAAAGCAAAACACAAAAGAGTTAATTCAGCCTAACAGGTAGACGTCCCAGCTAGAATTGTTATTATTTTGTATATTCTTTATATAGGCTCAGCTTGACTATTCTTTTTTTATTTTTATTTTTATTTTGTTAAAATTGTGATAAAATATACGCAATATAAGATTCACCATAGTAACCATTTTTAAGCATACAGTTCAGTGGAATTAAGTCTATTCACATTCTTGTGAACTAGAATTATTTTTTACTTGTTCAGTAATTATTAGTCTAATGGCTGATCCTTCTCTTCCTCTAAAATATAAGTTCCTTGGGGTCTCCCCAGTGCCCAGACCAGTCCTTGGAACTAGGAGACACTCTTTAAATATTTATCTAGTGAATGAATATTCCAGGCACCACTGAAATTAGTTATTGGGTGGATGGGGCTGTCGGGCTGAGTGATCAGAAGCAGAAGTTCTGTCTCACCCTTTGCTACCGTTCTTCTCTGTCCCTTGGTAGGTACAAAAGGAAAGACTTACAAGTCCGGACGCAGTGACACGTCTGTTCCCAGAAAGAGTGGCTCGAGTTTCCTTTACAAACCATGGCGAGAGACCCTTTGCTTATCCTGCGGAAGCCCTTCTCGCAGTTGCAGTTGAGTAGGGTGCCGACCTTGTAGGTGAGGGCCTTGAACGTGGCGTGTCTGAGAGTCGGTGGGTCGTCCTCACAGAGCTCTGCAAATAAGCAGCACAGAAAGGCATTCAGGAGGTTCTAGTCAAACACTCCTCTCCTTCACCATGTGATGATTTAACCGCACACCTCTTTGCCTTATTTAAAGCATTTATGTAGACTCCACTTTTTTCCAGAAAGAAGCTGAGGCTGTTGCCGTTGGTCTTTAGAAAGCTTGGTATCAGAGACGTTTCAAAATTTACCTCCCACCGAGATCCTCTGCAAACTGCAATAGAGTTCAAACTAACCAAATAGAAACGGGGGAGGTTTTACTCTGAATATGCCTCGTGCTGAGCAAGTACCTATAGAAAGAGAGAGGAGGACCAAGGGATGGGAGGAAAGGGAGGGAGGAAAGCCGTGTAAATTTAATTGAGGGACAAAATGTGTCCGTGAGAAATATCTTTCAAGAAATAAGCATTGTCAGGCCTTCTGTAGTTAATGATTCTGTACCATTTTTTTGAGAAATATATGGAAATGCTTCACCCAGTCTGGCAGGCAGGAAGTGTGTTTCTCACTCAGCTGCCCACCTCTGAGGTTATCAAATTCCTTCTCACACCGTGAAGACCTGACCTCTCTTAGCCCGGAAAGTGCACACTGGTTTCCCAGCAAGGACACTCGAAGAAGTGGCCAAATACCCAACTATTAAGGGAAAAAGGCACTGGTCTAGTCAGAAAAATGATTCCATTGCATATCTTGCAACAAGAGCTCCTGCTTGAAAAGATTCCACTTTAGGAAAAACCGCAGGCTGGATGAAGGAAGTGGATAGGGAGGGTGACAGGAAACAGGAAAAGGTGAGACAGCAGGGCTCTCTCCCACAGCCAGGCTCTCCATCCACCGGGACAGGCACGGAGGAAGATCCGGGCAGGTTACTGCGCTCATTGCTGCCTGAGGACGGTCTGCCCATTGCTTATTAATCACTCAGGTTGGCGTGAAGCTCCTCTGTGCCCTTACAGTCTGCCCAGCCTCTTGGCATCCTGGAGACCACCGCATGCAAGACTCAGGACACTCCTGGAACCGCCAAGAACAGAAGGTGAGGGGAACGCAGAGAGTTCACCGCACCTCTAACCAAGAAGGGACTAAGAAAAGCAATTTGAATGGCTCAGCGGGCCTGCAGTTGTAGAGCAACATGTAACGTCAGCACTCAGTAAATTCTGGTCGTGATGATAATCATCACAATAGGCAGAAAGGCAGCATGGCGGAAAGGGGAGGAAGATGGTTTTCTAAATCCTAGCACTGCCAGCTTACTAGCTATATGGCTTTGTTGTTTTCATTTATCAAACACTTGGCTTCCTGTCCTGTAAAATGGGCATAATAATTATTTTACTAATTTATTTTAAAGATTATATGAAATAGCATACTAAGATAAGCACCTGGCACATAATAGGTCAACTGATCTTTGACAGAGGAGCAAAGGCAATACAATGGAGCAAAGATAATCTTTTCAACAAACGGTGCTGGAACAACCGGACATCCACATGCAAAAGAGTGAATGTAGACACAGACCTTATATTCTTCACAAAAATTAATTCAAAATGGATCACAGACCTAAATGTAAAACGTGAAACTATAAAACGGTTAGAAAATAACACAAGAGGAAGTCTAGATGACCTTGGGTTTGGTGACGAGTTTTTAGATGCAACACCAAAGGTATGATTCATGAAGGAAAGAATTGAGAAGCTAGTCTTCCTTAAAATAAAAAATTTCTGCTCTTAAAAGACACTGTTAAGAGAATGAAAACACAAGCCACAGACTGGGAAAAAATATTTGCAAAACGCATATCTGATGAAGGACTGTTACCCAAAATATACGAAGAATTCTTAAAACTCAACAATAAGAAAATGAACAACGTGATTTTTAAAACAGGCCAAAGACCTTAACAGCCACCTCACCAAAGAAGATATACAGACGTAAAATAAACATCTGAAAAGACGCTCCATATCATATGTCATCAGGGAAATTCAGACTAGAACAACAATGAGATACCGCTGCACGCCTTTACAACGGTCAAAGTTCAGAACACTGACAACGCCCAGTGCTGGTGAGGATGCGGAGGATGAGGAACCTCGTCCATTTCTGATGGAATGCAAAATGGTGCAGCCACTTTGGAAGACAGCTGAGCTGCTTCTTATAAAACTAAACATACTGTTACTGTACAATCCAGCAATCATGCTTCTTGGTATTTACCCAAAGGAGTTGAAAAGTTATGTCCACCCAAAAAACCTGCACATGGATGTTTAGAGCAGCTTTATTCATAACTGCCCCAACCTGGAAGCAGCCAAGATGTCCTTCAGTAGGTGAATGGATAAATAAACCGTGGTCCATCCAGACAAGGGAGTATCATTCAGCATAAACAGAATGAGCCATCAAGCCATGAAAAGACATAGAGGAAACTTAAATGCATATTACTATGTGAAAGAAGCCAGTCTGAAAAGGTTGTGTACTTTATGATTCCAACTGCACGACATTCTGGAAAAGGCAAAGCTATGGAGACAGTAAAAAGATGAGTGGTTGCCAGGTGTTAGGGAGGAGAAGAGGATGAACAGGTGGAGCTCAGAGGATTTTTAGGGCAGTGAAACTACTCTGTGTGACACTATCATGGTGGATACATGGCATTACACATTTGTCTAAACCCATAGAATGTACATCAAAGTGAACCGTCATGTAAACTGTGGACTCTGGGTGATGACGACGTGTCAATGTAGGTTCATCAATTGTAACAAAGGTACCATCTGGTGGGGGACATTGATAATGCGATAATGGGGGAGGCTACCCATGTGTGAGGTCAGGAGTATATGGAAAACCTCTGCAACTTCTGCTCTGTTTCACTGTGAGCCTAAAACTTCTCTAAAAAATAAAGTCTATTAAAACCAACAACAACAACTTAGAAGCACACGACGGACGGTCCCTGAGCTAGGTAAAATAATTGAAGGAAAAAAAACCAGTGAGGACTTCTGCTTCCAGCCATGACAAAATGTTGGTGCCAAAACTGACCTTCCTGCTGAAAACAACTTTAAAACCAGACGAAATGTGTGGAAAAAGTGTTTTCAGGCACTTGAAAGCAGACAGCGCAGCACGACATTGTTTGAGAGGAGAGGCACACAGGAAGTGAGCCCCACCATTGCCATGGCTTCCTTCCTGGGACACTTTCTTGCCAGGTAGCACCAAAGTGGAGCCCAAGGAGAGTAGTGGTCTCACTGATCTGAGGAGGAAAAAAATCAGAGTTCTGAGGCCAGCCTGGTGGCGTAGTGGTTAAGTTTGCACACTCTGCTTCAGTGGCCCGGAGATCACAGTTTCGGATCCTGGGTGTGGACCTACGCACCACTCATCAAGCCATGCTGTGGCTATGTCCCATACGCAATAGAGGAAGACTGGCACAGATGTTTGCTCAGGGCCAATCTTCCACACCAAAAAAAAAAAAAAAAAAGAATCAGAGTTCTAGGCTGCTGGCATGGCTGGCATTGGTGGGGCAGGGTTCTGGAGAGGAGGACACTGTGCAAGGAGGCCCTAAAAGTATGCATGAGGGTACCCCACAGGTTCTGAGCCCGGAGCAGGGCTCATGAACAGAGCAGGACTCAGTGAGATCTAGTACCAACTGCCTGCTCTGGGGACTGAGAGAAAAATAGTTATACCAAATTTTAGGTACAAAAACAGGCATCTGACCCATAGGCTATAGTTTGCCAATCCTTCTCCAAAGGAAGAGACATCCCCAGGACAAGTTTCAAAACCAAAACAGACCCCCCCTCCCTTAGAAAGACTAAAACCAAGCCTGATAGACAAAGGGTTGCACCAGTAATGTAACTGCCTGTCAGAACAAAATCCAATACCTCTTAAAGGAAGACAACGTAATCCAGACTCTCTAAAACGTATAATTCATAATATTCAGCAAGTTCTAAAAAAATTCTGGACATGTAAAGAAATAAGAAAATGTGACCCATTAAAAAAAAAATCAGTCAACTGAAACAGACCCCCAAAAGAGCCAGATTTTGGAATTATCAGACAAGGAGTTTAAAGCCCTTACAATAAATGTGCTCAGTGACCTAAAGCAGTTATCAGCAAACCACAGCCTGCCTATTGGCTGCCATTTATTTTTATAAATCGTTTTATTGGCACAAAGCCATGCCCATTCATTCACCTTTTGTCTATGGCTGCTTTTGTGTCACAGTGGCAGAGTTGAGCAGTTGTAACAGACTGTATGGCCTGCTGGCCAAAAATATTTACTCTCTGGCTCTTTAAGAAAAAAATAGTCAGTTACTAATTTAAAAGAAATATGCTTGTAATGAGAGAACCAATAGAATATCTCAGAAGATGAAGAAAACTATAAAAAAAAATGACAATTCTAGAACTAAAAATTAAAATATCTGAAATGAGCATAACCACAATTTGAAGACAGATCAATAAAAAACTGATGAGCACGAGAAAAAATTTCCAAAAAAAAGAACAGAGCTTCAGCGGCCTGTGGGATAACATCAAAAATTCTATCATATTTAATTGAAGTGTCAAAGCAAGAGGAGAATAAGAATGGAGCAGAAGAAATATTTGAAGAAATAATGGCCAAAAAATGTCGGAAATTTGATGACAAACATTGACTTACAGATCCAAGATGCTTGGTGAACTCCTACCAGGATAGATATACAGAAAATCACACTTAGATGAATCAGAGCCATATTGCTGGAAATTAAAGATAATGAGAAAATCCTAAAAGTGGCCAGAGAAAAAGGACACATTATAAGGGATAAAAGATGAATGATGAACGACTTTTCAACAGAAACAATGGAAACCAGAAAATAATGGTAGAACATATTCAAAGTTTTAAAAGAAAAAAAGCCTGCCAGCCTAGAATTTTACCTAGAGAAAAGACCTTTCAAAAATGAGGTTGAGGGGCCGGCCCAGTGGCACAGCAGTTAAGTGCACAGGTTCCGCTTCTCTGCGGCCCTGGGTTCGCCAGTTCGGATCCCGGGTGCAGACATGGCACCACTTGGCAAAAGCCATGCTTTGGTAGGCGTCC